TCACTATAGAAGTAAAGCTAGACTGAGGAAAAGTGAGGTTTTAGGATCCATCACCGAGTGGATTCAGGAACTGCAGGGTAGGGACACTAAACATGTGCTTCAGTTTTGATGTAAGCTAAATAGAAGTGCCCATAGTAAATGGGGATAGACTCATTGATAGTACCTTTCCTAAGTGCTCAATATCACCAGCATCCAGGGAAATGAAATCAAAACCACAGTGAGGCATCATCTCACACCTGTTAGAATGGCTACTCATTTTTGACCAAGACAAAACACTGTAGAGAATGTAGAAAACTACTGTGGGTGGGAACAGAAATTGGCACAGTCCTGATGGATGACAGGATGGACGATCCCAGCCAAATCAGAACTATAACTACCATATGATTCAACAGTACTATTTGTAGTCATATATCCAGAGAAAAGTAGATCTTAGTCGTTAAGAGGTAAATATACTTCTTTGTTCCTTCCAGCATTATCCAAAATATGAAACAATCTTAGCATCTATCAACAGATGAGTAGATTGTGTATAAGACAATGGACTACTAGTCAGCCACAAATACTATTCAGATAAAAATGAATCTGTCAGGTGTGACGTGGATGAACACAGAAGACACAGGCTATGTAAAATCTGACAGATACATTCAACTACTGCATAATCTCACTTCCATGTGGAATCTACAAAAGGGAAAATCATAGCAGCAGAGAAGGGTGGTTGCTATGGGCTGGGCCAGGAGAGTGGATACTGGATAGACACAGATACTGGACAAAGGGTTCAAGTTTCTGTCATTCAAGATGAGTTAAGTTCTGGAGAGCTGAAGTACAGAATGGTGACTAGTTCTTAAAACTGTATTTAATACCTGAAATTTGCTGAGGGTAGCAAAATTCAGATATACAATATTTGATCTTAAGAGTTCTCACCACATATACACAAAAGTAACTATGAGGGCTGGGAAGGTGGCTCAGTGATAGAGTACTTGCCTTGCATGCATGAGGCCCTGGGTTCGATTCCTCAGCACCACATAAAACAGAAAAAGCTAGAAGTGGTGCTATGGCTCAAGTGGTAGAGTGCTAGCCTTGAGCTGAAAGAGCTGAGGTACAGTGCCCAGGCCCAGAGTTCAGGCTCTACAACCGGCAAAACAACAACAGCAATAAAAAAGTAACTATGAGGTGGTTAACTACCTTGATTGTAGTGATTTCACAATGTACGCATATGTCATTGCATCTTAAATAAACACAATTCCTATTTGTCAGTTACATACCAATAAAGTAAAACAAACAAAAAACCAACATCTTTTCTAGCATTAGTCCTATGTATCCACCCACAGATAACAAAAGTTGGATGGCTGAGGGATTAAAGGGTCTGTGTGATAACTTGCACTTTCTTCTCTGTGTGTGTGTGTGTGTGTGTGTGTGTGTGTGTGTGACTATTGAGACTTGAACACACAGTCTAAAGCTCTTGTTTGGCTTAGCTCAGGCTGTTCCTCTATCACTTGAGACATACCTTTGTCTTCCCAGGCTGGCTTCAAACCTTAATCCTCAGACCTCAGAATCCTGAGTAGAGGAACCCTTTTTTAATAAAGATTACCAAAGTGAGACTATATTCTTGAAGGGCTTCAAAAACAGATTTTTCACCTGTTTGTGAAATCAGGCTCTCTGAAGGTAGTGTTTCTATAAAGTAGTTAATATATATTATTATATATATCATTATATATTATATTATTATTTATATTATTAATATTTATATATTATATATATAATTTTATTGTTGTTAAGGTGCTGTACACAGGGGGTTATCATTTCACAAATCAGGTAATGAATATTTCTGTTTTTGGAACAGTGGCACCCTTTCCTTTGCTTTTCCCTTCTATACGGAACTTTTAAAAACAAGCAATTATGGTTTCCTTACTGTTCCTATTAGCAGGTCACAAAAACAGCAGCTCAGTCATGGACTAATATTCGAAGGCAGACACTAGCAGGACTGTGAAGCTATTCACATTGGCCAGACCTAGTGGAAACATGTCGTTTCCAAACCATCAGCTACAATTCTAGAACCCCTTCTTAAATTAGGAGGATTAAAGACAACCACAGGCTGCTAGTGCTGATATCTACTCTGCCAGAGAGTAAGTTAGCTCGTGTTCAAAATTAGGAATAGTTTAAACCTCATGCATGCTCTCCTGCAAGAAACCTAGATATAAATCAGGCCCAGCCTTCATTCCAACAGCCCATTGGACCTAGTGCTTAGGTTCTGATTTGGAAAGCCAAAGATAGGCTTCTATGTAGTTCCATGAAGCTTTTAAACTTGAAAGCAAATTTGTAAATAGGCATGACTGATACATATTTTCTTCTGAAGTTTTAAGTAGGTTCTCCTAGGGTCTATGATACTAAAATGTTAAAATCTACAGGCTATGGAATTGTGATCTGAAGGAAAGTTGTACAAAGTAGGCAAGATACAAGGATCCAAGAAGGGGAAAATCTGTCTTGGGGATATTGGTAATTGTTAGGAGATAGTCTTTCAGTATCCCTGAACAATCTTTCTGCATAGATTTCTCTGTTACATTCTTGCGTTTCCAACATACAGCCTTTCCAACATACAGAAGATTAAACACAACCGTCATACTTTGTTTTCAGTCATGTATTTCCTTCTGTACATTCAGGCATGGAATCCATGCTCACTGCTGACATTTCAGCAAAGCAACTACCGCTTCTCTGGACACCTTCTGTTTACAATAGGCCTCACTGGTGTTCACGTCTCTATTTCTTACCAGCCTTGCTCTCCTTCATTCCTTCCCATATATAACAGATTACACCTTTTCTGTAGCACATCTCTTCCACTCTCTCCAGGTTTTACAAACACAACACCCTTTCCCCTACATCATCACATTCAATTCTCATAGGTATTGTTCAAAGTAGAATTTGTGTTTGTGCGTGTGTGTGCACACTGGTCCTGGAGTTTGAATGCAAGGCCTGGGAGCTGTCTCTAGGCTTTTTTTCCCTCAAGGCTAGCATTCTACCACTTGGGCCACAGCTCCTCCTCAGGCCTTTTTTGGTTGTTAATCAGAGAGAAGTTTCCTGTTCTTGCCTAGGCTGGCTTTGACCAGGATCCTCAAATCTGTTTCCTGAGTAGTTAGGATTTCAGGCATGAGCCACCAGCACCCAGCATTTCTTGATTTTTTTTTTTTTTTTGGTCGGTCATGGGGCTTGAACTCTGGGCTTGGGCGCTGTCCCTCAGCTCTTCAGCTCAAGGCGAGTGCTCTACCACTTGAGCTACAGCACCACATCCAGTTTTCTGGTGGTTTATTGGAGACAAGAGTCTCATGGTCTTTCCTGCCTGTGGCTTTGAGCCACAATCCTCAGATCTCAGCCTCCTGAGTAGCTAGGATTACAGGCGTGAGCCACCAGTGCTCAGCTTCATTTCTTGATTTTTTTTTTTTTTTGGTCAGTTGTGGGGCTTGAACTCTGGGCTTGGGCACTGTCCCTCAGCTCTTCAGCTCAAGGCGAGTGCTCTACCACTTGACCTACAGCGCCACTTCGGTTTTCTGGTGGTTTATTGGAGATAGGAGTCTCACGGTCTTTCCTGCCCAGGCTGGCTTTGAACCATGATTCTCAGATCTCAGCATCCTGAGTAGCTAGGATTACAGGCATGAGCTACCAGCACCCGGCTCATTTCTTGATTTTTAAGTAAGGGTAACTGAGGTTATTGGGTATCTCTGCCAAGGTCTCCAACATTATTAAAGGCAGAGCAAGCATTTAAAATGAGATCTATATATAAAACCTCCAGAGTTCATGCCCTTCTGACTACATTTCTTTCTCTTTAGGTAGTTCAGTGTCTCTGAGACTCTTAATCTTCTGAAATACATGGGAAAATGGTTCCCACATGGGTCCATTTGGTAAGATGCAAGGCTCCACATTTAGTGCCTACCACAGACCAAACAAGTGCAGCTACTACTATTGTCTTCTTCCTCCTTAGCTACCTCTCCTTTTCTTCTTAAAACCACATTTTGATGGGAATACTTGCTTGTTTCATTTCTTCCTGCTTTCCTTTCTCCATCTGAGAAAACAGGATAGAGAAGGGCAGCAGAGGGCAGCCCCCAGCTCAGGGAGGGGGATAATTTTAGAAGAGAATCCCCTGGCAGAGGTAAGTGGGGGAAGGGAACAGAGCTGTGAAATTCAACCTGACACCCTACTCAAGGGCGGGTGGGAAGGACGTGGACTCTAGCTCAGACATGGCTTTGTAATTCCCAGCTCCTCGACCTTGCATAAGCTTTCCTATCCCTAAAAATGGGTACTCATTTTCACTATTCTAACTTCTTAACCTTTCCTGGATTTTTGTGTCTCACTCTGAGATGATGTTTTACTCTGCAGTATACAACCGCTTTTCATACTTTTTGCTCCTAATGTTCTTTCACGTCAAACTATTACCTGGTAATGTGCTTCAAGGCTTCAGTATCTTTTGCTCTTTTGTATACCTCAGCAACTTTCACAGCTGTTTCCTATCCAATGTTGCTACAGAATGTTCTACTACTTGCTAGACCATCTCTAGCCCAAGTGTCAGGCACTCACCTCTCTAGGAATGCACCAAGTACTCCTCAACAGTCCATACCTGGCTTTTCTACTGTCCTAGAATTTTTTAGTTATCTGTCCACTCTAGAGATATCTTAAATCTTGGACCAAGTTGCTAAATAAAATCCTATTATCCTTTCAACATCAGCTTCCTATTCGAACCCTACTACTCGAGTCCCCATCCTGTAATCAGATAAACCAGAACTATCACTGTTTGCTTAACTCTTCCATCTTACATAACCATGAGAAATTCCTGGGCTATGCCAACTAACATGTACAAAAAGAGTAATTAAAAAAAATAAGGTTTTCAGCTCTAGGTGTGTTTTGTGAGGTGAGGAGAAATGGCCCAGTATTGGGGGTGGGGGGAGACAGCTAAAGAAACTGAAAGATATAGGCTCCAGAAGATGAGTATCTATAGAAATTGACATCACACACATGTAACAAACATCAACATTTATTTGGCACCTGATGGCAATACAAAATCTTGGCAGTGGGAAGTGGAAAAGTTCTACCACTCAAATATGTCCATCCTGTACTGACTGACTGACCCAAAGGCAGGATGTGGCAGCAAGTCTCCAAACCACTCGGCGTGGAACAAACATTAATTGAGCACCTTGACTACTACTTTGGGCCTAGCAGTTTGCTAGGCACCATGGGAGATGTGAAGGAAGTCGTCTCACAGATCATTTGTCTTCAAGGATCTAAAAATACCAGTAGATAAAAATAACCCAGAAAAACAGACTGAAAATACTAAACTGTGCATAATGTCAAACGAGAAATTCTGCCAAAAAGTAGGATTCTAGGAGGGGTTGGATACTTGCCTCCTTCTATCATTCAACAAACATTTATTGAAGACCTAATAAGTGCTAGACTCTGGGTATATACTGATGAGTAAGAAATGCAGGGTTTGTACCCTCTTTGAGTTTACAGCCAAGAAGGAGAGGTAAAAATGAGTAAGTAAAACAAGAAAACATATCATTACAGATTGCAGTTAAGTCCAATGAAGGATTAATAAGATGCAGTAATTACGAAATACAGAAGACTGTTTGCAGACAGAATGGCCTGGGAAGGCCCCATCATACTTGAAGAATAAGATGCCACTCTTATTCAAGAGCATGGGATGGAAGCTAGGTACTGGTGACTCACTACTGTAACACTAGCTACTCAAGAGGCTGAGATGCAAAGGATCACAGTTCAAAGCTAGCTCATGTAGAAAGGCCCCCAACACTCTTATCTAACCAGCATGAAGTAGTACAGTACTAGCTGCAAGCAAGCAAGCCAAGCAAGTGTGAGACCCTGAATTCAAGCCCCAGTACCAGCAAAAGGAAAAACAAAAGTGGTGGGATGGAGAACACAGAACATCTGAGCAATCAAGGAGGTCACTGGGGCTGGAGCATAGTGAGAAATTACCACTAAACGAGGTTCAAGGGGAAGTTAAGAACCAGATCAAATAAAGCAGAGCAGGGGGTATGGGTAGGTCTTATGAGATGTACAGGAGGTCAAAGGGTTCCAAGCAGTAAAGGATCTAATTTATACTTAAAAAACAAAAACTACTCTGTTGTGTGGAGAATAGATTACAGGAAGACAAGAATGGAAATAAATACAAAAGAAGGTCTTAAGAACAGGAAGTTTTCAAAGGCAGAGAGAAGGAAGTTTTTCGGTTGAAAGAGTAACATCTGTATGGTAATATATGCATTAAACAGAAATAGAGAGAGCTGAGGCCACACAAAATCACAGGAGAGTCTGACAGAAGCAGGGGGCAAGAACAAGGTACTGTTACACCCGTGAGCAGCTAAAAGATCAAGTGCAGGAGTATGTCAGACAGAGTTGGTGGCAGCAGTGAACAGGATGAGATGAAACAGGGAGCTAACAACTAGAAAGCTTATACAGAAAAATTCAGATATGAGGCACAGCTGATTGCATGGAAGTGACACCTCACAGGAAGGAAAAAGCAGACACTTCACAGGTGACAGTGAAAGGAGGTACACCACTCTTCCTGGACTTCTGCCGACACTCCTGAAAGCATAACAGCTCAGGGAAAGATCAACTAAGAAAGATCATTCTATTTCCAAATGCAAGGCATGCAGACCAGAGGCTCTGTTGAAAGTCTGGGTGCTTGGAACTCAAAGGAGCACAGGTGGGGGGGAGGGTGTTTGAGATGCTTGTCTTTCTCCTGGGCCTGCAGTCCTGATGGGGAGGCACAGGGACCACCAGCCCGCACCCCTAGAAGCAGGGCGAGGCTGTCACAATTGCCTCTTCAAGCCAAATGAAAATGTCTAAACAAGGACACCTTCCACTCTCACCATGGTACAAAAGGGGCTGGACCATGAAAACAGTAGATGATTGCTGAGGTGTCTGAACTGAAAGCAGTAACAAAGTGCTACCTAAAAGCCATGAGGACAGAATACCACAAACACCAGTGATCCACATGCTCTCTTCCATGACCACATTGTGTTCATATCACCTGCCAGGCCACAGACAAAAACATTCCCAGCAACAAGTGTGGCCAGAGTTGCCGGCTCTACAAGGAGTCAGTGCCACCCAGGAGAGGCTGGTCTCGAGTCCAGATACCAAGGTGGAGATGATGGACACAGGAAACAAGCCGCATCCCTGAGGGGGCAGAATGGAAACCATTCGTCCTGAAGAAAAGGCTCTCTTGTGCCTTTGGTGGTCCAATGGCTCCCACCAGCAGGAACAGGAAGGTGGCATCACGTGGGAGGGTGTCCTGGGAACAGGTAGAGGTGACGGCACAGAGTGCTACAATACTCAGACATCTCTTTGCATCGGTGGAACTCTGTGCCAGGGGCGTAGCCTTCACGCTCCTTTATAAGCGCATTCACCTGGGAAGGCAGAACCAACGATCCAAAGTCTGAGACTGGGGATGGTAAAAGGACCAGGAAACCAATGCAAGGGAAGGGGGGTGGGGGAAGTTGCAAAGGCTCATGGCTGACCTACCTTAACCAGCATGTCAGCCACATGCATGTCACAAGCCCGCTCAGAGAACACCTGAGTGAGCGCCTCAATGTACCAGGAACCCCGTTTGGTGTTGCGCATGGCAGCAGTCCCTGCAACCAGATACGTGAGAGTCACAGCTGGACTTGTACTACACTTTGTGCCCTTCCCAATCAGCCTACCATGAAAAACTCGAGTCTAGAAGAGTAGGATTTCCGGACTCAGGCTACCTTTGAGGCAGGCATAGCCACATATCATGTCTGAGCGTGTGGGCAGTCTCATCTTCAGCAACTCCTCTTTGCCTGCATCGCTCTCCTCACACCCAGGGGATCCTGCATGGTTCTTCCCATCTTGCTGGTCAACCCCTCGGTCAGTCTCATCTGCAGAAAGGCAGACAAAATGAACAAAGGTGTTATTTCCCCCCATGGATCATGGGCCTGTCACAGGCAAGCCCAAGTTCCTTTATAACCGTGACAGGGAAGAACCCGTTCCAGCTGTTGACTCCAACCTATTGCTGATGGATTAAAACAAACCAACGAACAAAAATCCATGTATATTACTTTCCCAGCATGCATGCATCCATTCCTCAGAGGGCACCTTTTGCAGACTAGGCAGACTGCACTCAAGCACATGCACACATACAAGGCCAGACCGTTTGCCATTCCAAGTAAGGCAGAAGGTATCAAATTAAGAAATCCTTGTAAGTGGAATTAAAATTATCTAAGAATAAAATTTACTTGTTCAGTTAGTAATTTATCTTAAGGTCACAGGGCTTTTTACTGCAGTGTTTATAATAAAACATTGATATTTAGTTTTATTACATAAGCAAAAACAAACCCAACAAAACAAAAATCTGTTCATTAAAAATCACAATCTCAAAATATCCTGTCAGCAAAAACAAGTGGAGACTCCAAAACTGTAAAATTAAGCACAATCAGTGATTTCCAAGGTGTTTCTGATATTGTTGTAGCATTTACTATGTGTTCAACAGTTTCATAAGTTAAATAATCACAAACATTCAAGATTTAGAAGAAAAATTCAAAAAAGGAAGAACTTAAAATTGGGATAATTTGATTTTCTCCTCCAAGTTTAAAAAGAACTCCAAGTTGCTGTTTTATCTTGGGGTTAGGCAGAGGTCCTGTCTGTCTGTAGAAAAGGGAGACAGGAAAGACACACAGATCAATACACTAAGGGTAAGACTTTTTCAGTATTTCCTGCTTGATGCGATATTTTCAGGGTCTAGCAAAGAAGAGATATTTGAAGAACTGTGGTAAAATGGACAAAGATTCACTGGTTCAATAAAAATTCACCGAGCAACTTCCAGGTACCAGGCAGCATTCTCTAGTAAGACCTAGAGACAACAGTGAGGGAAAACAAAATCACTCCCCTTATTAAGTTTACATTTTAACAAGAGTCAACTAGGGCAAAGCTTTTACGAACACTAACTATTTTACCAAATATGGAAGGAAGACTAGTATGTTCAAATTTTCATAGAAACAACTAATTTCTGGCCATCCCTTACCATTACCATCTCTTCTCTCTCTAAGTACGTATCCTCTCCTCCCGTCTGCCTCTATCTCTTGGGGTGGGAGGAGGTGCTTGAAACAGGGCCCTGTAATCTTGCTTGGCTTTCTTGCTCATTGGTAGAATGAATGGATTTATGTTTGTTTTGGTGCCAATCCTGGGGCTTGAACTCAGGGCCTGGACACTGTCCCTGAGCTACTTTTGCTCAAGGCTAGCATTCCACCACTTGAGCCATAGCTCCACTTCTGGATTTTTATTTATTTATTTATTTTTAGTAGTTCAGTGGAGATGAGTCTCATAGACTTTCCTGCCTGGACTGGCTCTGAACCAGGATCTTTAGATCTCGGCTTCCTGAACAGCTAGGATTACAGGCATGAGCCACCATGCCTGGATATAATTTTTAGAGGAGTTGGAGAGGCAATGCAAAATATTTAATTATTCCAAAAGAGAAACCATTTCTCCCTGTTTAGATCCAATACTGCATCCACATCTGAGTTCAGAAGAAAATGTCCAGTAATGTTTTGTTTTGCTGGCAATGATTCCTAAAGTAGGCCAAGCAAGCGTGTCCTCCAAGGGACAGGAGCCTGTCTCTTGCCTTGAAGGTGCATATTATTCAGTAAGTGCTACTGGGTCTTTCTTTACGATATCCCTTTTTCTGCTTTTTATTATTATTGTTATAATTTTCTAGACAGATAAAACTGTCATCCATTCATTCAGTATTTATAAGTGCCATCATGTGTCGGGTAGTGCTCAGGGCCTGGGGAGACAATTAACCAATGAAAAATTAACTTCCTTCCTAACCTCACATGCTCTTTTGTGAGTGCTACTCTGGACTGTGGTGACTTTTCTGGAAAAATTTATCACCTTATTTCCTACTTAAGCACCCAACAGTTCCGTACTATTATCTCTCAAGTCCAAAATCTCAACTGTGTCTAAAGATTTGTAATTAGCTGCTCAACTTTCTGTGATAAGCTACATTTCACTGTATACTTACACAGATGCTCAGCTTTTTAATTAGATCTGAGCATCAGGGGATATTATGTAATAGAGAGGATGCATCCTTTTATCTCTCGCCCTCTCTTCTTCTCGGTTTCCATCACCCTGACCTCTGTGAGTCATACATACTGCAACTAAGTCTTATCCTAGCCACAACTAACCTCTCTTAAAATGACCTATTATGATGGCATACTCCTTCACATGTCCACATGTAATTTCATCCTTGCTTGAAAACTAGTCTTAACTGACCTCATGTGTACTTGCTTTTGTTTTCTGAAGAACTTGTAGGCACCTTAGGGACCATATTCTCTCTTGCTTTTGTAGGAGTAGCAGAAGTGTAGTGCAGTCTTAGTTACACTGCAGGACTTTAGTAGAAAAAAAAACTTTACAGTGATATTAGATTAGGAAAACAATATTAAATACCATACAAGAGAGGAAACAAGGCACCTGCATGTTTGAATAAAGTACAGTTACCCTTTGAGGGCACTAATCACACTGAGCAGTCCCAGGTACCTTTCTCTGTGGATTTACCATCAGTCAGGTACCAGGCTAAGTAAGCTCTTAATCACCACAACTTTAAGATGAAAGTATAATGATATGAAATGTTCACATTTTATATGAAAGGAACTGAGGTGGAGGGATGAGAAGTAGCTTCTCCAATCCATATAATTACTAAGTAGCAGAGTGAGAATTTGACTCCAAATTTAGAACTCTTAATTACTACTGTTTTCCTCCAGGATGAGAAGGAGGCCTGTGTGTCTTCTAAGACTTGTCACAGAGGCTTGGCTCTTAAAGGGGTATAACAGACTACATGCAAGAAAGAAGAGGGACAGAAGCAGCTCAGGAAAGAGTCCAGGGCTGACATGGATTCTGTACAGCTATCCTGCATGGCCCATGAATGATGAAGGAAGAAGGCAAGAATGGAAGCATGGTTGGACACACAAGTACAAGGAGGAAGTAGAAAGGGACAGAGAGAGGAAAAAGGAAAGAAAGTAAGAAAGAGGAAAAAGACAAGCAGAAAATCCGGATGAGTTACAATAAAAAAGAATATGTTACAGTTACAAAGCAGGGAAAAAGAATCCATTTTCTCAGAAGAAAAGGTAGACATTGACAGGAGATCCTGAAAACAGGATATGGTGGTGCACAGAGATTGACCAGCCTGAGCCATGGGCTGCCCAAGTCCCCGCACACCCCATGCATTGGGAGACACTTACAGAGCAAGAGAGGCGGTGGCAGCAGTGAACAGAAGGAGGTGCCCAAGGGATCCAATAGCACCTGAGAGGAGCAAACAGGAAAGTGAGAGCTGGTGGGAGGCTGCCCAGGAGCCACCGCCCAGGTGCTGGCCTGCCAGGCACTCACCTCCACGGCAGGCCTGGATGAAGAACATTTTTGGCTTGTTCTGTAGGCCTGGACAGTTGGCATTGTCAAAGAGCCGAAAAACCTCCTGGAGCTGCCAGAGAGATAAGGGAGAAGGAGGTTAGGCAGCCAGCCGCTATCATTAGAAAAACATCAGTGGGAGATGAGGCAGCCCAGTGCCTACAGTCAGCCTGTGCAACATGAAACGCACCTGGAGCAATTTGCCGTCCACACCATAGATGCTGCCTTCCACACCATGCGAGAGGAGTGCCACGATGCAGGAGTCTGTGACCCGGTGTTCAGGTAACTGTGCGAAACTCTGGAGTTTCTCTTGCATTTCCTACAAGACAAACACCTTTCAGATAGCTCATGATAGTCGGAGCCAAGACAAGCACCCATCTCCAGTTTTCTGTTTAAAATTCCAAGCTACAAAATGAATACCAGTAAGCCAAAACAGTAAATGCAGTCCCATTCAATGTATATAATGTAAGAACTGAACTACGTAACTTGACAGTAGGGACAGGATGAGGAAAGACGGGAGAGAACGATGGTAGGTGGGGGTGACTTTGATGAAGGTGTCTTGTACTCATAATTTGACTTATGGAACTGAAACTTGTGTAAGTATTTAATGAAAAAAACACTTTTAAAAGCCTAAGCTATTAAAAGATAAAATGTATTTTGTATATTCCTGTGGCCAGTGATACGAAGTCAGAGACCTACTAAGAAGCTTAAAGAACCCTATGCACTCATCAAAAAATGCACGCGACTTCTGCCACAAAATTATGAACACAAGTTTGCAGACTCACTGAGACAGTAACTGTTAAATTGAAGTGAGTTACTAGCAAAGAAGCTATGTGAGCTAACCAATTTAGATTCATTTCCTGATCAAACAGAGCAAATGGCCTCATATACAAATGATACAGTAATGACCATATCTATTCAGCTACAGGAAAATAAACTACTCTGTAGCAGAGGGCATCAGTGTCATAGTAATGAGCAGCAACATTGTCTGGTGTTTTCTTTCAGGGATCATAGATATCCATCCGACAACGACCATTTCTGTATAAAATGCTTTGTGTGAGTAAATATGAATGATTTCACCCATGGATCAGACCCACCTGGGTTTAATCTCTGGGGTCATAAGGTAGAACAGATATAGTCCTTCAAAACTCCAAGTTTCACTTTGTCAGAAAATGATTACAAGTCAATTTGTTCTTAGTTTGTGAGAAGAGTAAATGAGACAATATCGAAGTGGTATCACTTTTTACTGCACAAATGTATCATTATTATGAGCATGTCCAATAGAGGAACAATGCCTTTTTTAAAAAAAGGAACCTATTGCTGCTCAACATTGGCATCCAACTTAAGAATTTTATTTGGCTTCTAAGTCGCCTTATACTTGCACCAGTAATTTAAGCATTCAGTTCTATCAGAAAGTTATGATACCTAACAGTATAACAACTTTTAAACCTATGCCTCCTCAGCATTACAAGATATCCAAGTCTCTCACCTGAGATTAAACATAGAGGAACCAGTTCATTTTGTTTTGACCTTGAAGGACACATAAGAAGGATAAACATCCACAGTTCTAGCACATGTGTGCTTCACATTGTGAAGCACACTTGTGTGATACATTCAGAGCAGAAAGCAACCACTGCAGCACTACCTAGGAACTGAGGACAAATGCAAAATACTGGAGATGGCAAACTGTTTTAACAAGTCCTCCAGCTGACTCTGGTATCTTAAAGAGTATAAAACCCACTAACCTACATATTTGGTATATGATTAAAATATTTATAAATTGGTTCAAGTGGCAGAGCGCTAGCCTTGAGCTGAAAAGCTGAGGGATAGCGCCTGGGCCTAGAGTTCAAGCCCCATGACAGACAAAAATAAATACTTATAAAATATTTGGAAAATTGCAATGGAAATGGAGCAATTGATATTGGAAATATATGTATACTTTCTGGGCTAACAGAAGCCAATCATAATCATTTATTTATAAAATATATATATATATATTTCATGGGACTATATGGTTGTGGATGTTCTTATGGAGTTGGCCATGAGAATAGATGATAAAGAAATTAATTTTGCCTAAAGAATGCAATAGAAATTACAAATTTGGTCACCTGTATTTTTGAACTCTGAGATTATTAGGTCAGGAGACAGAAAACAAAGTGCAGGACAAGAATGCATACACATTGTAATTGAGCTTAGTAAGAATAAACTATTCAACAAATGCAGATCATTATTATTTGAGGGATCTTCCCACACATAATATAGCTTTAAAAAATGGTATAGTTCAAGTGGTATAGTGCTTACTTTAGCACATACAAGGCCCAAGGTTCAATCCCATGAAAAATTGGGAAGGGGAGGAGAGTGGGGCAGGGGGTGGGGAGAGGGGGAGGAGGGGGATAAAGGGAGGAGGACCCACAAATTTATTTCTGATAAAATTAAATACACAGTTCTTATATTATTCTCATGTGTGCTGTGAGACACATGAGAATAACCTGTGAACCTCAGAAATTAGTGGCAAAATTGTATGAGTGGCTGCACTTCCTAGAGATGACCCATAGCTTACCTTTACACTGTCACTGCAGTTGATGACACAAATACAAGTGAAATAACTAACATTTGATAAAAAGAAATGTGCTGCTTTAGAAATGGAGATTCATGTTCTAATGCAGTGTATAACCTGAGGTAGACACACCAGAATTTAATGTCCAAGAGAAACACTGAAAAAAAACCTGTTTTGTTGGCCAGCAACAAACCAGTGTTCCCTTTTTAGTACCATCAAGGGTTAAAGACTATTTTCTATTTTTATGTAAGACATTAAAATTTGTGGTTCTGCTTTTTGGTTTTGCTCGCCAAATTATTATTGAATAGCTTCTAGAGAGGGTCACCAGAGAAGAGCAGTGTACAGGTGCCCAATGCGTCACATTGTGGCATCTACTGCAATTATCTGGCTTGTGACATTTCACCTATGCTCTATTCCCCTAGGCTTACATGCCTTCACCAAATCCTCTGCTTTAGAGCCTCTGTAAGTTCCTCCTACTCCACTCCTTCTCATCACATCTACCCAGGGAATTCTAGCTCCTGCAGAAGACTTTGATTTTTTTTGGTCCTTAGGAATATAGGACAATGTTCCTCTTCTGTTGATGTAAAAGCTTATTCCTTCATCTATCTGAAGTCCCTTGAACTCAATGTCTACATATAAAAAAAATTTGGCAGCTAATCTGGTTATCTGTTGTAAAGTACTTAAAATTTAACTTTACTATAGTTCCAGTTATAGAATGACATACCAGAGTATGAGATTCAATAGGCCCTTGAATCTGCCTCAGACTTACTATAGGAAATAGCACTTATGAAGTTGCTTTAGAGACTCACCAAATCAACTGAATGTTTAAACCAAGTCAGAAGTATATAGCTGATTTGGTGACTCAGTATTGTACCTTTAAGTCTCAGGTATATAAGATCTCTTCTTGACTAAGTAACAGTTTAGAAAACCATGCCCTAATAGATTGCCAATGAAAGGAATGGCTAGACCAAAACTTCTGGAAAAAAATATATAGCCACATTTTGTTGGGGTAACAGTTTCGTAGCAGTGGAAGTGGGCAGGCTACCCGTTTCCCTTTTGCCAAGCAGACCTCTCTGGGCAGCATGTAACCTACTTCAATTCTTCAGCAATGGCTAGAAATGGAACAAGTGTGGATTTACTACCTTGAATGGGCTATTACCAACAAACAGGAAAAAAAAAATCCTAGGATATAAAAGACAGCACTAGGCATCCACTGATGCTATACCATTTGTACAGTAAATGTTCAACTATTTCCACAGAAGCAAGACAGTTGAGATATAAATGAAGACCACAAAACAAATGCTGAACACAAAACCAGGACCACAACCATTTCCAACCCCAACAGGTCAAAGTAAACCTCCTAGAATTTTAATTTCACCACTGGTAACACTAAGGCAAGTTTAAATAGGCATTATAATGGGCCCAAAATAGTACTAATAAATTTTCAAATAGGCTACAGTCAGCTTCAAAACAGAAATCCTAAAGATAAGAGTGAAGTACAACAGAGCTGCAATAAAAAAAATAACCCATAAGGAAATACTCAGTAACTTATCATTTGAGAATCTAATGCAGAAATGATCTACTCTAAAATAGGACTTGTAGTCATGAGAAAGGTACACAGTTTGTGGTCATGAAATAGTACTTACAAGAATAATTTTAGCAAATTTTCTTTTCAAGAATTGTATCTGCTCAAGTCATCAGTTAAACATTAGTTGGTCATCTAAGTGACGATACTAGCTAGGAAGTAAATGTCCTGAGCAGTCCTGGTTTATAAATATCTTTTCTGAGTTGGTTAGGGTAAATCTCAGTGTCTCATCACTTCCTGAGTGACTGAGAATCAAGTTTCTGAACATGTAAAAGAACCTAACCCAGGACTATTATTACTCTATGAAAGCACAGCTAGTCTGAGATGTCAGTGTTGAAACAGCTGGTGGGGCCCTATCATTTTTACTATATTGCAAGGAGGGAAATATAACAGAGCAAGCAAGAGCGTATAATGAGCAACCAACTTGTAAGACATATCCAGGAAGCATGGGAACAGAAGAATCTGGCCTCAAAGGAGAGCTCAGTCCTTTACTTATCAGCCTTTCCAACTCTTAAGTACCTTCGCAGTCTGGTCATGCAAAACATGGACGCTGAAGCCCAAATGCTTGAAGAGGTTGACTAAAGTACTGTGGTCCACATCTCCTCCAGAGCGAAATTCCAGATCTTTCTCTCCAGTGAAGTGTACATTGCTTAGCACCAGTGCCAGGCCACGGGGTCGGGACTGTAATCTGTAGGCCTAAGGGAAAGAAGGCAGGTTAGATCAAGAGCTTATTGATGTCAGAAACTATGATTCCCCTGCTAGATTAGGCATTTCTTCTTTATTTTTTCTTGCCAGTCCTAGGGCTTAAACTCAGGGCCTGGGCACTGTCTCTGAGCTTCTTTTGCTCAAGGCTAACACTCCACCACTTAGGCCACAGTACTACTTCTGGCTTTTTCTGTTTATGTGGTACTGAGGAATTCAACCCAGGGCTTCATGCATTCTGGGCAAGCACTCTACCACTAAGCCACATTAGGCATTTTTTTTTTTTTTGTCAGTCATGGGGCTTGAACTCTGGGCCTGAGTGCTCTCCCTCAGCTCTTCAGCTCATGGTTAGCACTCTACCACTTGAGCCACAGCA